TCCTCCCGATATTCACATGGATAGTTTATTTGTTGTTTTTCTTGCCAAAAGCACTAGGGCTTGCATTTCAGACATGGTTGATTAAGTTTTATCATGCGGATTTTGAACCGGAAAAGAGTAGAACTAATTTCATAGACTTGCATTTCACATTTTTAATCTAAGATGTGCAACACGCTACATGGATGTTCCATTCTCTACACGGGTTCCACTCATTCATTAAAACATGTCTGTGTAAAATTAAGTTCTTCATTGTTCACATCAGACATAATTGCAGTGGCTCTAATTTATTTGTTTCCATAGCAGAAGATTAGGTGGACCCAGATATACCCTCGCGTAACAGAGGTATCGCTTCCCCCTTTTGTTTTGCATTAATTCACAAGTTTATTGATGTCATTCCCAGAATGACCTTTTGCTATTACAGCTTTAATACAAAAGAGCTTAAAGCCCAAACAGATGGTTGCTTCATGGGTTGAGGGACAACTCAACGCCCTTGTAAAGCTGGTGCATTTCCCATCCGCATTGCTACTCATTTTAGCAACAAAAATATACTGTATGCCACGATGGAGACAGAGGGTCCCTTTACATTCCCTCAGCACAGATATCAAATCACTAGTTTCTTTTTTCTCTCGCATGTGAATAGAAAAGGACCATAGTTCAAAAAAAAAAGAAAAAAAGAGCGAGAGAGAGAGAGAGAGAGAGAGAGAGAGAGAGAGAAATTCCTGGGATGGAGTAGTAAATCCCAAGGGTCCCCAAAGCCCCAGGCTACTACACCTCCACAGACACTCAGATGGAGAAGTATTATGGAAAAAATAATTTAATGATAAGGTGTTCTAATGAGAAAGTGGGCTACAGAAAGAAATCAGATATAGTTTCTCTAGTATATTCTGTTTGTGGACATAATATTCTGCATATAGCAGAAAATTCATATGCGGTGCAGATCAGCATTTTACTGGAATGGGATTCTGAAAGGGACATAATAACAACAGATATAAATCAAACAACAAAATCTAATCCATTTCACCATGACCTTTGTGACCAAAAGAGAGAATGTGTGCAGAGAGAGAGAAAGAGAGAGTGAGGGAGAGAGAAAGAGAGAGGAATGACTATTGTTCCATTAAGCTGCTCTAAAAATAACTACCATTTCTAACCAGCTGTGGGTTGCTATAACGTCCATATCTTTATGCCAATGAGGGAGATATAAATGTGCAGTATGGAAGAAGAGAGGGGGGAGGGGAGAGAGAGAGAGGGAGATATTGATCACTCACTGCCAAATGGAATTGAGTGTGCTTGACAACACAGGGCTGGGGGTGCACAAGAACATGGCCTTGTAATTCTGCCTACAGGCTCCAAAAGAGAACAAAGTTCGGTTTGAGAATATTCAAATCATTTTTTGCCATTTGCTCTGCAATTAAATTGTGTGGGCAGTTTACACAGTTGTCAGAATCGAGCAGTGGTAAAATACAAACAAAGTGGTGTTATGTTTTCAGACAACCTTTTTCTGTTGTAATGTAACAGTTGCGGACTTCATCAGATATGTTTGCAAATTAGGCTGTTATAACATCAGTGACAGTTTTGGGCAGTTGAGATATGAAAGAGAATCTCTGCAGAGATTCATTACGCTTCTATTTTTAAGCAGTATCACACGAGCAAGAGTGCTGATGTTCAGTATTATGGCTTTTACACAATACTTTAATAAGTAATAAATTAATAGTTCACAATAAAGCACTGGTAATGAAAATAATTCCAAACAATGTCGAAGCAGAATGAACTGCACATCTCTGAACAACACACAGTGCTGTGGGGGTGTTTTCTTCCTGAATGAATCAGTATTTTGAATGTAGCCTATAGTTTGAGTGAATGATGCAATGACTCACTCATGAATGCAGTCACTTGTTTTGTTCCTGAATGAATCAGTGTAATTGAACACATCGGTTGAATGAATGATTCAATGATTCACTCATAAAGACACTTGTTTCTTTCCTGAATGAATCAATGTTTTGAACAAATCGGCTATAAATGACTCTCATGATGACAGTCTTTTGTTTCTGTTTTGAATGAATCGGTTGTGAATGCTTAGAAAATGGCTGCGTCCAAAATCCCATACTCTTGAGTAGGTACTTACAGTGGTGTAAAAAGTTTTTGCCCCCTTCCTGTTTTTTAAATTTTTTGCATATTTGTCACACTTGAATGATTCAGATCATCAAGCTAATTTTAATATTACACAAAGATAACCCGAGTAAATACAAAATGCAGTTTTGAAATAATGATTTCATTTATAAAGGGAAAAAAGCGGTCCAAACCTGCCTAGCACTACGTGAAAAAGTTATTGCCCCCTAAATCTAATAACTGGTTGTGTCACCCTTTGCAGCAACAACTGCAATCAAGCGTTTGCGATAACTGGCAATGAGTCTTTCACATAGCTGTGGAGGAATTTTGGCCCACTCTTCTT